CTGGAGCGGCTCTTAATGCACTTCTATGCCTAACGCCCCTTGATCTATATCTGGACAAGGAGGCGAGGGCTAGTTTGTATAGGATGAACGCCCAGGGCGTTCTGAGCTTGTTCTTGCTCTCCTACAGATTGAGATCCATGCTCGACTCAGTTAAGGAAACACCGGTCTTTTGCATGATCTCAGATATCATGCGTCCACTACACACTTTTGATAAAAAGTATATAAGTAATAATAGAAAATAAAGTATATAAGTAATATAAGTGGAATTACCCTTCAGAGAAAACTGGCTAAATGGCCAGGTTATCTGTGAGGTCGGTAGCCTCATGTAGTATACCGATGGGTCTAAAATGGGCCTCGACGTAGGCTTTGGAATTTACGGGGAACGCCCCAAATTCAAACTTAGTATGAATTAGAGAAGATTCACCTCTATCTTCCGGGCAGAAATTTTCGCCATACTTCAGTGTGCGGAAATCAATCTGCAAAAACACTTGGTCAACCATATAATTTATATAAACTCTGATAGTCAAGCAGCACTGCTAGCGCTGAGGTCAAACTTAGTGAACTCGAAGCTAGTTGGAGACTGCCTGAACCGTTTAAACGCCCTGGGATGTAACAACAGGGTCGTCTTGCGATGGGTTCCGGGTCACGAGGGTATTGTAGGCACCGAATTTGCCGACAAACTTGCACGGGAGAGCTCACAGTGCACACAATTTGGACCTGAGCCATTTTGTGGAATCTCAAGAAGCCTAGCCCGATTGACCCATGAAACTCTTTGTCACAATAAATCACTTAAGATCTGGTCTGACACACCAGGCTTAAAACATTCTAAAAACTTGATCCGAGCTTTTGATCGTAAATTCGCTTCAGAAGCTTTGGGATTAAGTAAAATTAAGTTGCGCATTCTGGCAAGAGCCCTAACTGGACACTGTTGTCTTAAAAAGCACATGTCCATCTTGGGTCTAAGCAACTCAAGGATGTGTCGGTTCTGTTCCATAACGGAAGAAACGCCTCTACACATCCTAACTGATTGCGGATCCTTAATGCGCAAACGTAACACTCATCTGGGAAACTATCTACTCCGCCCAGAAGAAGTGAAATTGCTCACGGCTAAGCAACTCCTTCTATTCATTGAAGACATAGGGCTTAGCAGTGAACTTTAGCCAAAGCAGCGATCACATACACATACATCTTTTAGGTCGCAGTGATACTGGTCTCTTTCCCTTAGACCTGCATAGCTGTTCGCACATAATAATTAAAAAAAATCTGACCAGTACTTTTGAGTTATCCTTAATAATGTGTATTTAATTGACTTCGACAACACTTACAATGTTCTCATTTAATTTATATTGAAGTCGGTTGTACAATTGTTTAAATTTTATCACTTGTTTGTTTTGTCGTTATTAGGAAGGCAGAGCTTCCCATTTCCCTTCTGTCGCCTCGTGCGACACCCACGGGATGAAATGGTGTCGGTAGGTAGTGAAAATTCTAACACCGCCACTACACGGTGACTCAAACTATTATTTAAGTAAAAACTTAGCTTTTTTCCCCTCATAAAATATTTTTATCTTGTTCAAAAACTAAAACTTTGTCTTCTGTACATTCGTAGTAAAATAATAAGTAAGTGGAAATTTTTTATGATCGATTTTCATTGAAATTCTCTATATTTTTGTTTGCATATTCTATTATACAATAAAAATGTCTGTTTCTTTTAATTAAAACATCAGTTTATAGTTAATTCTTCTTTCTTTAAAAATACATAGTGTTATACTTTTTGCTGATTACGTTCGAAAAAAAATTTTTGGGTTGTCAAAATCATATTCCTTAATTTTTATAAGTTAAATGTATTTTTGAGTATACAGAATGTTAAATATAATTTACAAAGTATTGTTACTGCTTAGTTTAAAAAAGGAATTTCGAATAAATTATTGATCCGAATAAAAGTAAGTGGTTTTATAGCAAAACTATTTATAAACAACACAAAATGAAGATAAGTTTCTGTACGACTGGCAGTGCCTCGCCAGAGTTATCATGAACGATGAGCCGCGAGTTAAATAGTTATTTAATGTATTCTTTGAAAATCGCCATAATCTTTTCGGCGAGATGACCTGCCTCGTCCGAGACTTTAAAGATTTTTTTCTTTTCGAATAACATTCGAAATGGTTTAGTATGTTACTTTAGTAATAGTATATCTTATTACTTGTCTATTATTATAGAAAAATGTTAAGATAATTATTTTCTTCCTTTAAAGAAAGTGAAGGCAAGTGTTTGTATCTGTATGGAAGCCAATCATACTATTACTATAAGTGAGTGTATAATCAATATACTGCGGATCCAACCCGCTCGTCAAGCGTGGTAACTATGGCAACCATCCCCCATGAGCAACGACACAAATAAACCTATTCTTGGCTAATGTGGTGACCATGATAACGGCGGGGCTGGGAGTGCTAAGAATCTCCGGTGGAGGTTTGGTTGCCACTTTGTACGACTCGATCTGGCAACATTTATGGCACGCACCCTGAGGAATGACGAGAATACTCTAAAGCTGAAAGAAGAGATAGACAAGTTGCGCTGGTATATATAGGATTATCTGAGATCTGAAGAAAGGGAGAGGACACGGTAATTCTCGAATACGGCAAATTATTCTATCACCGGGAGGGCGACCATCTGTCCCAAGGAGGTGTCGGTTTTATCGTCCACAAGTCTCTCGTTAACAACGTTGTAGATTGTGAGAGTGTCGACAAGGGTTGCAAGTTTACAGGGCTTATACTCAAAATCACCAAACTTTATTCGTTGCAGGTCATACAGGATTTGTATGAGGATATCTTTAAAGCCGTGCATTCCTCTAAAACCCAATATACGGTGTTAATAGGAGAAAAATGCAAAGCTAGGCACAAGAGAAAACGGTGAGCTAAAGGTAGGGAGATTTGGAATAGGGCAACGGAACATAATAGGCCAGCAGTTGGCCAACTTCATGGAGAAAGAGGGGCTCTTTATCATGAAGTGTTTCTCCCGCGGCCCCACAGAAGGTGGACCTGGTCGAGCCGCGACGGTTCGACAAGAAATGAGATTAAATTCATTATGACAACTAGACGGCAATTGTTCAGTGATGTCTTAGTTATCGAGAGGGTGAAAACTGGCAGCGATCACCGAATAGTTATAGGCACACTGAACCTAGACGTGAAGTTGGAGAGGTCTCCTCTAATAAGGTCAACGCTCTGTCCCCTTCGTGCTCTAATTCAAAATCCCGAAAATTTTCAGCTCGAGTTATAAGATCGTTTTCAGTGCCTAGAAAACTACAATACAGTAAACAAGCTCGTGGTAACTGTCCATGTGGAAGGAGCTAAGTTCTGTTAGACCCGTCGCAGAAGAACCCAAAAACTCTTCAAACACACAATTAATCTTATTTATTAATTACTTACTAATTAGAAGGGAATTGAAGCTAAAATATTGCAGATTTATATTTATACTAGATTTATATTAGATTGCAGGAGATTTGACAGAAAGGCGACAACGCTTTCTTGAAGAACCACAGACCGACATCTCTTCTATGCCGCGTCTTCGTGCTGTTTTCGAGAGTCATAACGAATCGTCTCGCACGCAGACTCGGCAACTTCCAACGTCCCAAACAAGCCTTCTGAAAAAGCTTTAGTACCATAGATTACATACCCTTCGGAAAAATGTGCAAATGACCGAAGAGTACGTACAATCTGCCACTTTGCCTTGCGTATGTGGTCTATGAGAAAGCCTTTAATTCCGTGGAAATTTGGGCGGTGCTACAGTCCCTTCATCGGTGCCAAGTTGACTTTCGGTATATCGAAATGCTGAAGTGTTTGTACAGTAGGGCTGCGATGGCTGTCCGAGTACAGAACCAGAGTATGAAACCTGTAGTATCTAACTGCAGAGCGGTGTAAGATAGGGTGACGACACATCCCCGAAACTTCACCGCTGCATTGAAGGACGTTTTCAAGTTTCTGGCCTAGGATACCGTATTAACATCAATGGGGATTACATCACTCACCTTCGATATGCTGACGATATAGTCCTTATGGCAAAAGCGCTGGATATCCTCAGACGATCATGAACAAAACAAAGATCATGCGTGATGTCCATGTCACTCCTATGCCTGTAGTTGTTGGGAGCACTAAGCTCGAAGTTGTTGACGAGTATGTTTACCAGGGATAAATAGTCCGACTAAGTAAGTCCAACTTTGACCGAGAGGTCAATAGACGGATTCAACTCGGCTGGGCAGCGTTTCGGTAAATTACGATACATCTTCTCGTCAGGTATACCTCAAAACCTGAAAACGAGATTGTACAACGAGTGCGTGTTGCCAGTGATGACTTATGGATCTGAGACGTGGTTCTTCAATACTGGCCGTATAAGGAAGCTCAAGGTCGATCAGCGAGCTATGGAGAGGGCTATGCTTGGGGTTTCTCTACGTAATAAACTTAGAAATGAGTATATCTGTAGTGAAACAAGAGTGACCGATAAAGCCTAGCGTAGTATTAGGGCAGCGCGGCGAACAATTCCTTGCCCTAAAACCCTCTCAGAAATGAGGGGAGGCCTGTGACGTATATAGACTAGATATGTAACTTTATCTTTTTAATAAAATGGACTTCCGCAAATTAATGCCTGATTCAGTTAATTATTTTATATTACAGATTTAATGCAAAATGTGTCGCACGATACAAGCACTGATACAAACTGTGATTTGCGCATTGCAAATGGTTACAAGAATTTTCATGACTATACTTTTGATGGTCGAGAATATGATTAGAATGCTTCTGCAGTCCATTTACAACTTCCTCTCGACGTTGCTTCAAATTATATCACTTATACCGATCTGTTGTGTTTTCCTGTTGACCGCCAGAATGAGATGCTTGTTGTGTGGAGGTAGCGGTGGGGGTTGTGGAGCAGGAGGGGGCGGTGGAGGACTACTGGGATGTGTCATGTCAATAATTTTTTTCGTTACACTTTACTTTCTTTTGAAAGGGACAGGCATGGCTGATGGATTTGCCCGTTCGCTAGGCTACACTCCAATACCCAAACGAAATCCAAAAACCGAAAGACCAAAAAAAGCACTGCGAACCAAGTCCGATATGCCTCTTTTGAACGACAATGATGAGAATGAAAAGGATAATCCTGAGCGAAGAGACGATGAATCTGAACCGTACGAAGACTTGAATGATGACAATGAAACCACTACAGTATCTTCCCCATCGCCGAGTATGCGACCTGCTACTGCGCACAGTAAGGCCGGTAACTGGTCAACTATACTGTATTATTTATTATAATATACATACTTTTACTTGTTATCAAATATTATATTGTATGGTATTATGGTACTAATAAAATAATAACTAACGGTAGTGACATAGGTTATTTTTTAATCTTCCTTGCATGATTTTATTCCCTTTTTATTATAATATGATTGATTATGATATCTGAGAACAGAATGTGAATATCGTTTAAGTTCTTTAAATACTAGAAGTAGGCTTCTACTTTTCATGAAAAGTTAAAGGAAAGTAAAGTTGCTGCTGGGCACAGGCTTTATTTCCTTTCTTAGTGGTTTTTCGGATAAGAAAATTTCCGCTGCGCTGCCCATAAACGTGGTAGCTGATTCCATATGTCTTCTTTTTAATTTCTCAGACATGAAGATATATTCACAATGTTTTCCTTCACCACATGGTAAATCAGCGCTTGAAATTTCAAATTAATAATTTCACTGGAGCCGGCGGGGATCGAACACGGGTTGCACGCGTACTTCGAAATTCAAAGCGAGCACCTAGCCCCTGAACTACCACTTTTTTTTTTGAAACTAGGAAATATTGTTAAATATAAATATGGATATTTTATCATTTTAATTAAAGAGTATTTTCACCTGTTTTCAAATTAAATACAACATTAATTATTATTTTTTATTTAAATTTGAGCATACACCACCACACCTACATACCAACACACACACACACACACACACACACACACACACACACACACACACACACACACACAAACACACACACACACGCGCGCGCGCGCGCACGACACACACACACACACACTCACACACACGCGCGCGCACACAAACATACACACACACACACATACACACACACACACGCGCGACACACACACACACACACACACACACACACACACACACACACACACACAGACACGCACACACAGGAGATAGAGTGGATCATATTGTACTCGCGTGTTGTCTTTTGCACAATTTTTTGCGGAGAAAAGCACCACGATATATAACTACAAAAAATCTGTTGACCGAGAATACTACCGCGGGCAAAAAATAGTAAGACTTTTTAATTTAAATTTCGCGCGATGACTGTCAGTGACATCTGTGCCAAATATCACATCAAAGTAATCATTAGTGTTTAGTTGACGCTTGTCTTTTTGAAGTACAAAAAGTGCATTCGGCGATTTTTACAATGAGTGAAATTATTCAACAAAGAAGTTCCATTAAATTTTGTGCACGGTATAAAATTTCTAGTGCCGAAACGTTCAGAATGTTGCAAAAGGCCTTCGGTGATAAGTTTATCGTCAGAAGTATCAATTCGCCGAGAGAGTTCTGGCATGCCGAAACCAGATGGCTGCTCGCGTGTTACGAAGCGTGTATGCAGATAATGCTATCTGCATAAACAGTGTGCCGTCACAACAGCCGAGAGGCAGTGGAATCCTACTAGACGTGGGCATTATTTCACGTCACTAGATACAGTAACTGGCTACGCGGCATGTAACCGAATCACTAGTTTCGAGTCATGTTACAAGTAGTGATTTTTGTAAATGCGTGATTATGATTACTGTTAACCGTGATTATTGCGGGAGTCGACTGTCGGTCGCTCGAGCACAAAGCGCACATGTGGCATACAACAATAAACAAAACATCGTAAGTAACAGTATTATTGTACGTTTAATTTTCATACGTAAGACTACAGACATAGACAATAAAATATAGTAATCTCTGTTTGTGAATATTTTCAGCGGTTTGTGATTCCGGGAAGCGAGTCACATTGAATATGTTGTGTAACTCAATGGAATTTAACTAAAATAAATTCGCGGAAAACCATTCGCGTTTTTTATTTATGACGGTAGGAACTTGCTGAATCATTATTCCTTTCCAAAACGATATCATTCGTACCCTCCTATCGACACATCGGAGTGAAAACATTTTTGACAGAGTCATGAACTCGTTTATTCATAAAATTAAAATAAAACTAAAAAATTGTATAAAAAATTTAAAAATTTAAATGTTTATATTATAAAACTTAAAAACTGTGTGTAATTAGCCAAACAAACAAACAAATTAATTGTACAGTGTAAATAAAAGTGCAAAAACAAATGATAGTGAAAACGTTGAAAAAGTGTAAATAAACTGTAAATATCAATAATCATTGTATATACAATCAAATTGACTTGTAAATATGCCTGCATTAAAAATTTTATGAAAATATTAGTGTCATAGTTAACGCAAATCAATCATAAATACATTTAATGCAGTCTGTCCTAAACCTGAATAAAATATGAAGGGAAGTTAATTTATTGATTTAACAGTATACAGTTACTGTATAGCTACAAACACAGATTGTGATTAAATTTATTTTCGTTTCGTGTGTAACTGTATAGTTGGTGGTGATATTTATGCAAACAATCAGAGTAGCCGAATAAAAATAGCCAGTTACAAAAATCACTAGTTTTGAAACAGGTGACGCCGATCAAGTCACTGGTTTCGTTACGTTTCTTGAAAATGACGTAACGACCCACGTCTAAATCCTACATCTTGGCTCTATAATATGTACTATGAAAGGAGATTTAGTATAATGTTGGGGGTAAAGCTTTAATATCTGTGGAAGGTATATTTGATTAAATGAGTTTGTCTTGCAACTTGACCCGGCGTGTATCTTTTAGTAATATTTGCGCATAGTAATTCACACAAGAATTCATATTATGAGAGGTATTCTAAACAAATTGTTAAATACTTAACGTACAAAATCAAAAATAACTTTTATTAATTATACAAATAGTAGAACTAACACGAATAGGTCAGCTCGACCGGGGAAGGACCACGCTCTCACAAAATAACAGCGTAAAATAGCAGCTTAATGTTGCTATGTTTCGTATGGTGAGTGTGGAAAACCGGGGATCCTTTTCACTCGGAACTGGGCATTCCGTCTTAGTCCTCAGGGGTAACGCATCTGCATTTTTATTGTTAATAGAGGATAAATATCGATGTTTATGGGTAAAAGCATCCACTTACCATCAGGTGAACTGTGTGCTCGTTTGTCACCCTTATTCTATAAAAGAAGCTACTAAATAGTACATGAGTATAATGCTAAAAACTAGCGTTTACAATGTACACCACTAAACTCATGGGTATATCATCACCGGCTTACTGTTAATTGTAAGCGATGTCTTCAGAGTTCCAGCGGTTAAGAGCGAGGTGTCACCGATCCGTGGTAGCGCAGGTGGCGGACACAGTGGATAATGACCTAGTATAGTGTTGGGAATGAGCGTAAGATATATGCGAACCAGTGACCACTTCTATGATTGATTGTTTAATTAGGCTGGATTTGTCGCATCTCAACAAAATTGTATCGTCCACAGACTTAGAATATACTAGCGTATAAACGACCTAACAGCCCGAAGACGCGTGACAAATTTCGGTTTGTTATTGTGTGCGCAAACTAGTGATTTATATATTTTACATATAGTACGACCAACTAGCAGCGATACGAAAGGTCATTTACCTTAAAACGACTGTTCTATTATTATTTATCTCTTTGCATCTTGTGTATTTGTCGTAATGTCTCGTTTTCCCGGCAAAAACGCCAAACATTCGGGAGGCCATTTTAGTAATTGTTGTTTATTTAATTATTGTTATTTTGTTTTGTTGATATTTGTTTTTTATTAAGATTAATGATGGAGCCACAACCAAGTACGTCGAGAGATAAATCAACAGATTTTACTTCTCCGAAAAAGAAACATCTAAAGGTATGTATGGGAATAGGATATATGTATATTGTTTAGTAGTTTTAATTAAAACTTCGTTTTTCGGAGCGTACTTTAAAGTTATTTAAAAAACAGCAACTGTAATAAATAAACTTTTCTTAATTTATTAAGGATGCATGTAAATAAAGTATGTATATCATTTTAATTTAATTTTTAATTTTTGGTGACTAGTTTTACTGTGAATAAAAAATATGGTTATTAATACCTACTCGTACAAATATGTCAAAAAAAACTTGGTATATCCATACAGAAAAGATGGCGCAGAAAGCATTTATTTAATTTAAATCTACGTTAGACAATAATTCAAATTATAACAAAACTTATAAAAAGACTATTTTTTGGTTTGCTAGACATTTTTTAAAACTATATTAGTAGTTACGTTGTACCAGTTCTGGCGCACTTGTAGAAAGGTTGTACCAGTTCTGGCGCACGACGTTCGTCGACTCACAATCCTAAAAAAAAAAAAAAAAAAAAAAGGTTTTGGCATGCTCTGATCACGAATCTGCGGTCCATTTTTGCGTAGGATGCACGGTTCCGGAGATGTGCAGATCAATTAACTCTTATCTAATTGATATCCGCTGCGAGCCTCAACCGTCATTAGCGCTCCATTGTCCTTATCTACTTATCTATTGTTGATTAACTACCGTCATTATCTATTATTCGTCCAGCGTGTGGGTCGGCTTATGCTATTGTATTATACTCCTTTGTTCCTATCTACAACACTAATCTGAATCATCAATAAAACACATTACCTAAATTTGTTAAAATTTTTATTTATAAAATACAAAATCTTATAACTTATTATCTATAAAATAGGAGTGAAACATCTCATCCACTAACATATCGTTGTACAATGTGTTCTCTGTAAATATACTCGTAAAACTATGCATTGAACATCCCTGAAACTTATATAGCAAATACATTAAGCAATATTCGCCACAAACTGAAGTCCTATCAACATTCCAGTTCCATCTTTTAAACACATTACCTAATTTTGTTAAAATTTTTATTTATAAAATACAAAATCTTATTACTTATTATCTATTAAATAGGAGCGAAACATCTCATCCACTAACATATCGTTGTACAATGTGTTCTCTGTAAATATACTCGTAAAACGATGCATTGAACATCCCTGAAACTTATATAGCAAATACATTAAGCAATATTCGCCACAAACTGAAGTCCTATCAACATTCCAGTTCCATCTTTTACAATTTCGTACAGGTGCCCGTCCATATGAATCAAAATATTCACCGACGTC